GGGGGGGGGGGGGGGGGGGGGGGGGGTTAAGCAACCGCCGCCCCGCCTCCCCCTCCCCACTTTTTACTCTAAAGGCCTAAAGAGGCTTCTTAATCTTAAGCCTCCCCCCCACGCCCCCTCCTGCAATAGGGAGCGGGTTCTCCGGGCGCCTCAGGAGGGGATCCCCGCCGCTGGCTCCAGCCCAGGGGGAGGCCGCTTCCCCCCCCCCCCCCCAGAAGGACGCACCGGGCTGTTGCTCCCCTCCCAAAGAGGGGCTTTGGCGCCCCCCCCCCCGCGAAGCCTTAGTGCCCTTTGGAAACCCCTTTTCCTCCAAATGTGTGTGTGTGTCCCCATCACCCCCCAACCCGGACCCTCATCCTACACAAGCCCCCCCCCCTTCTGGCCCAACAGGAGAGACCCCCCAGGGCTGAATCCAGAGCGGTCCAGTCCCAAAGCAGCCCCTCCTTCCATCCCTCCCCCAACTGGGTCCTTGTACCCAGGTCTCACCTGTGAGACGGAAGGAATTACACCTGATGGAGTGCTGACCTACCTGCCCTTTGCCTGGATGCAGGTGAGTCGTGTGAATTGGCGTCCCTCAGGAGGTCTCTCCTGCCCGCTCTCTGAAGCCGGCAAAACTGTGCCCTGGCCCGGTGATGGGTTCTGTAGTCTCCAGAAAGTTTCCTGGCCAAGAAGACCCTTGCTGACCTCTCCTTTCTTCCCCTCCCCTGACCACTAGGATTGGGAAAGGAATGCAACAGAAGGCCTTTGAGGACAGCAAATCCACGTGGCAGGAATCACTGGACCATGCCGGTGGGGCCCGCATGCCCTTTCGCTGCCCCCGGTGTGGGGACCACGCCCGGTTCAGAAGCTTGTCCTCCCTGAGGGCCCACTTGGAGTACAGCCACGCTTTTGAAGACAGAAGCCTCCGGCCCCAAGGTGGCCTCTTCTCGCCCCTCAAGGGGGGGCGGGGCTCCTCCTCCCACCCCCAGGCACAGAGGACTTTCCAGGATGGGGGCCGCAGCGTCCTGAAGCCACGGCTCTCCTACCTGAACTTCTGCGAGCCAGAAGACCCTCTGCCCAGGAGACCCCTGGCGGGAGAGGCAGAATGGCCGGCCGACCTGGGGTCCGGCCACGCCTCGGCCGACTTGGCCTGGGACCCTGCCTGGAAGGTCGTGGACTCCAGCGCTTCCTTTGAGGCCCACGTGCGGGAAAAGTTCAACCACATGGTGGAAGCCGTAGACAAGACCATTGAGAGGCGGATCGACAACCTCTCACGGGAGCTATCCCGAAAGACGGCTGAGCTCCTGGAGGTCCGGGCAGCCTTTGTGCAGCTCTCGCAGAAGAAGCAGGAGGTGCAGCGGCGCGAGAGGGCCCTGAACCGGCAGGTGGACGTGGCGGTGGAGATGATTGCGGTGCTGCAGCAGCGGCTCACCGAGTCCGAGGAGGAGCTGCACCGCAAAGAGGAGTAAGTCGGGAATGAGGAGGAACCCCAGTCCGAGAGGGCAGTGACCTTCCTCCTCCCACCTAGCCACACTTTGACCCTGCTGCTAGAGAGGGGTGATTGGGGAGGGGATCAGGTGGGGAAAGTCCAGACATATGCCAGCTCTTGGCTTTCCACTGACTGAAAGGCCATAGATGTCCCAGCTTCGTTGTAAGCCACCCGGAGTCCTCCGGGATTGGGCGGCCTATAAATTTAATAAATAAAATGAAATGAAATGATGGGCCAGGTTAGGCTGGTAGTGTTGTGGCCAACAGCAGCAAGTGGAGCTGGCAGCAGATTCGGACAGTGAGGAGGTTGGGGAGGAACATGGGCCAGTCCTGGAATCGGGGGAAGGCTCTGATGAGGGTTCTGTGTTGGAGACAGAGAGGGGGGCAGAGCCGTCTGACAGTTCTCAGTTGCCTTCAGTCAGACATCAGTGAGGCAGACAAACAGCTGGAGCCTGTTCCTAGTGCACGCATG